AGCATCAATCAATACCCCCAGGTCCATTTCCTCTATGCAGTCCTCCAGCCACACCGCCCCAAGCCTGTAGCGTCACCTGGGATTGTTGTAGCCGAAGTGCAGGACCCAGCATTTGGCCTTGTTGAAACTCATCCCATTGGCTTCAGCCCAGCTCTCCAGCCTGTCCAGATCCCTCTGTAGGGCCTCGCTACCCCCAGGCAGATCCACACTTCCAGGCAATTTGGTGTCATCTGCGAATTTACTGAGGGTGCACTCGATGCCCACATCAAGGTCATCAATAAAGATATTGAGGAGGAGCTGTGGAGCACGTGGGTGCCAGCAAACCCTACGACTCATCCCCCAAAGACGCTTCGCATTCGTCCCGAAGGCTTTTTGGAAATCAAAGAAATGAGCAACATCTGGTGAAAATACAAACCTGATCCTATACCCCATAAAGGGTGGTTTAGAGGTTTTATTGCAATTCCATCCTCATAGGAGAGAAGGATTCCAGCAAAATAAACCACTTTTCCAACCTCGGTTTGATTATTTAAATTCAGGTGCAAACCTCTGCTTGGACAGTGCCTGGGATTTATGTTTCTTTACCAAATACCCTTCTCCACATCCCCCACCCATGGATGGAACTCACCATCGCAGAGCCCAACTCACCCTCTGGAGAAGAAGAAGAAGTTCATCAGCCTCGTGATGATGGGGGACAGCAAGCCCCCATCCTTGAGAACCTGGGGCAGAAACAAAAAGCAGGTGGCACCACTGCAGGGCACAGATGGGTGATTCTGGTGTGTTTTTCCCACAGGCTCACCTTCTGTATGAATCTGGGGTAGTACGTTTCGGGGAAAATTCCTGGAAGGATCACAGAGAACAGAGGTGTAATGCTGTAATAATTGTTTTGTTCTGCATTCCTCAGTCTTTCAGCAATCATAGTAAAAATCTGAGCCGAAGGACCTCTAAAATCTGACCCTACCACCCATCCCGATGTGCTGGGCAAACCTCACCTCCGTTGGACAAGCAGAGGCTGTTGATCAGGATGCTGCCAGTTTTATTGTGCTCATACCTGGGAACAGAAGGGGAGATGGAGAAACACCTTCTGCAAACTGGGGGGGCATCTCTAAGAAAGCCCTTCCAACCCAACATCCCACAATTCTACGACCTCTAACATCCTTTGCAACCCAACATCCCACGATTCCGTGATCTCTAACATCCTTTCCAACCCAACATTTCATGATTCCATGATCTCTAACATCCTTTCCAACCCAACATCCCACAATTCTATGACCTCTAACATCCTTTCCAACCCAACATCTCATGATTCCATGATCTCTAACATCCTTTCCAACCCAACATCCCACAATTCTACGATGTCTAACGTCCCTTCCAACCCAACCTCCAACGACTCTACGGCCTCTAAGGTCCCTTCCAAAACAACCATTTGATTCTATGAACGTGGAGCAGCCAGCCCAGCAACCTGTGGAGCAGCTCCTGTGCAACCGTATCCCCATAATCGTGGGACAGGAGGTTTATCCTCTGGTGGTGGAGGCCGAGGTGACGGACCAGCCGCTCGACGATGCTGGCTTGCTCAAAGATGGAGTAGTGGTGGGGCCTCTGCCAAGGAAAGCAGAATCACCGTGAGAGCATGTGAACCCACAGACACTTCAAAATAAACACCCTGATGGAGATGTCCCCGTAATCATTCTCCATCTGCCCTAGAGGACATCACACCCAAGAGAAGGTGGCACATTGACTGAACCCATCTCCACTATCAACCTTATTTATTCCTTCTGCTATTAGAATGTCTCATTCTTTTTTTTGGAACGGGGGAAGAAATTGGGATGTGAAACCCAAATGAACACCAATTCCCAAAACCCCAGTAGCTCCTCTTTCCAGGCTTACGTACAGGCTTGTCGCTGAACCCGAATCCTACAAAATCCAGAGCAATCACCCGGTGGAAGCGTTGGGTCAGTCCTTCCCATATCTGCAAGGAAGAAAAAAATGTAGGAAAACAGGAGTTTTGCCAGGAGGGAGGAATCCCAGCGGGGTGTCCTCATGTTCTCACCTTGCTCCAGTCATAGCTGGAGGTTGGGAAGCCATGCAGGAGGATGACAATGTCGGAGCTGCCCACAGCACCAGTGGAATCTGTGGAGGGAATGGAAGGACCTCAAGATGTGGCACCACCAAAACAAAAGGATTTTAGCCCAAATATCGCCCGCAACCCAATTTCCTGGTGGCCATGGAGGTGTCCTTACCTCTGTAGAAGATGCTTTGGTGTTTGTAGGTGAAGAAAGCTCCAGAGGCCTTCCAGGAGAGCAGCGCTGGGGAGAGCCGTGGGGGTGGGATGTGGAGGTACACAGCCAGGAGTGGGACGCTGAGCAGCCCCACCTGCACCCACCACTCCTTCATCCTGCAGGAGGTGGGATAGCTCGTCCCTATAACTTCATCCCCACAAATGGCCATCCACCCCATATCCCCCCATCCCTATAACCTCATGTCCCCATAACCTCACATCCCCATAACCTCCCCCAAAGTCCCTGTAACCTTGCATCCTCATAACCTCCCCCAAAGTCCCCATAACCTCACATCCCCATAACCACC